ATTTCAGGTGTGCCTCCTATCCCCTTCAAAAGTTGTCACAAATTGTAATTTTTAATGTGATATTAGGAGAAAAGGGTTAAGTACCAAATAGGACAATAATCATGTTTATTGTTTTTTAAGACTTACCATGGATATTTTGATATTGCTATATAAATGTAAGATGTCCAAGGTCACTTGGACTACAGCCAGATATAAATTGATTAAAAAATAAATATTAACTGAACTATACTTAATTGGAATTATTAATTTTTGGCCTTGCGCCACTTTAGAGTTGAATAGTTCACAGTTGTTGTTAGATTTTTATCCTACCTTTTTCATATATAACTCAAGGAGGCGAACATACCTAATGCTGCTGCCTCCTATTTTTCTTACAACAGCAAACCTGTGAGGTAGGTTGGGCTGAGAGAGAGTGACTGGCCCAAAGTCACCCATCCAGCTTTCATACCTAAGGGAGGCCTAGAACTCATAGTATCCTGGTTTCTAGGCCAGCACCTTAACCACTACACCACACTGGCCCCAGGTTGATGACCTACTTTAGATGCAAGCAACAAAATCACCATAGGCAGATGAGGTCGTTGAACCAGGTTGGGGTCAGTTTCTGGAGCAGACGAAGTAAGGTGATCAGAATGAAGGGAATTATAGATGTATAGGGTTTCCTAGTTGGCCTTTTATATTAGAGAACTACATTGTTAGAGCTTAGCACAGAAGATATCCTTTATCCAGAAATCCAAATGGAATAGACGTGCTATTAGACCAGAGCACTGGTGCCATTTGTCCCAATCTGAGATACTTTACCTTTAACAAGTCAGTATTAGAGTCCAACAACCAATTTGTTGAAATAAATAGAAATGTTTCCACTGACTTTTATAGATCTGGATTGGAGGAACCTACTGGAAGCCTGGGCAAGGGAAGGATGGGAGAGTAGATTATACTGCAGGTGATGGGGCTTTTTTTCATCATCTTAAAACTAGGAAGCATGTGTATTAGACTAGCAATGCCCATTTAATAAGAGAAGAAAACAGGGCTGAATTAAATTCTAGCTAAAGTTGCAAGTGAACTACAAAAGCTGGTGTTCTTACTGAAAGAAAAGAAATGAGTCCAGTACAGTATTTTTTTTTTAACATTTAATAGCAGTATTGGCCCTCAAGAAAACAAATGAAAATATGCAGTCCTATGCATTGTTAATTCAGAAATAAGGCCCATAAACTCTATTTGCTTACTTTCACTTAAGTATACACAATATTGAATCTAACTTATGTTGTTTAATGTACATTTCCCATTACTTAATACAAAGTATTCCATTACTCAAGGAAATTGCTCTACATTGTCTGTTCTGATTATTGCAAAGCTTTTTCATGAAACATTAAACACTCTCTAACTCCAGTTATTACTCTGCAAATATTGATAATTGATTTACAAAGTTGCAGGAGTCTCTTGATGTGTATTGAATTCAAAGAAGTTATTTTTAACTTGAATGATCTATTCTAGTAAGGAAGTAAACATAGGACAAAGAAATAAAATATACTTTATGGTAAGATTTTATCATTGTTTTAATTACAGGTAGTCCTTGCTTAGCAACCACAATTGGAATTGACAACTGTGTCGCTAAGTGCCGCAGTCGCTAAGCAAATCATCACATGACTGCAACAGACTTACAATGTCACTTCCCATTTGGTTGTTAAGCAAGTCACAGGTTATTAAACAAGACATCATGTGACCATGATTTTACTGCTGGCTTCTCCATTGACTCTGCTTGTCAGAAGCCAGTTGTGAAGCATGCAAATGGTGATCATGTGACTGCAGGACACTGCAATGGTCGTAAGTGCGAGGACCAGTTGTAAAGTTACTTTTTCAGCACTGTCGTAACTTCAGATGGTCACTAAACAGCACAGTCATTAAGTGAGGTCTACCTGTATTTGGCATATAAGTACTATAGTTACAGTTATTAAAAGATTAAGACCACAGATTTATAGCATTAACACAGTGACTCGATTCAAATACTAACAATAATGGGGTTCGATTGGTTTTTGCCTTTGCATGATACATGAATCTAGCCATTGTGGTTTATAAACCATGACTTAGCATTAAGTGTGTATCAGTCGCTGTGGTTTAATCAGTAAGTCAGAACTAAACAATATATGAATCTTGACAGTGGACTGTGGTATGTAATATAGAACAGTGATTATATGTAAACCATATTGAAGCTATGAAATAAGAATAGTTATATTAGCTTTTAAGAAATTGTTGCAAATATGGAAGAGACTGGGATGGTACCTTGCTTTAAGATGAAGTATGCTATGCTACATCCAACCTAGGCAGTGAAGAACAAGCAGATATCTTTGCATTAGGGATTATTCCACCCCACTCATCAACCCTCCTGGGCAAAATTTCCAGAATCACAATATGTACCTTGACTGCATGAGCTTAACCTTTCAGAAGTCTTCCAGGGATTGTTGTATTTTAACACTTTGCCTTGAAGGAGAGCCAGGTATTACCTTCAAGAAATATCACCTCAATCTGCAGTGGTAGCTTGGTCTTTTCTTTTTCTGAAAGAAAGGAGGGCAAAGATAGTGATCACCTTTCATGCTATTCTATATTGGCTGTGCTCAGGTTCAGCTGTCATCCTGTGAAATCCAAAGGTTTTTCAGTTAGTAGTGACAAAGCTCATCTGACTCTTCATGTAACTGTCAAAAGAAAATAGTAAGAGTGGCTTTGCACAAACAAGTAACAGTCATCTAAACTATGACAAGACTTACATAGCTTCTTTTTCCTTCCCAGGACTGGTTGGCACTTCAGTGAACCAATGTGCCTAGCTGTGCCTTGCACATGTGCCTCATGACTTCCTGTAGCTGGGTGCAAAGCCTGGCACTACTACTGGGAGAAGCAAGATTTACTACTGGGAGGAGCAAGATTTGATCTTGTTAGAGAAATATGTCATATCTGTGAAGTCCAGAACTTGGAAGTTCCTCAGAGCTCAACTGCAATTGTTATGGTGTACTTAAAAAAAGATAACAAAATTACTGGGTTTCCTTCATAGCAATAGGTATATTAACAGATTTAAAAAATGATCTATGAGTGTTTTTAAAAATTTGCACCCTGAAACTCCTCCATTCCCTACACATAGCATCTTAAATATACTATGACTAACTTCCTATTACTGTACCACTTTTTTTGACAAGGAAGAGAGCTTCAGGCATAAATAAATAAATATGTTTTTCTGTATTCAAGCATTATTGCTTGCCAGATTATTAAAATAGTGAGAAGTACATGATAAAATTATGCAGAATGTTAAAAACATTATTTTAAACAGTTTTATTTTGGGGAACTGGGACCACACACCATTTTCTTCTCCTACCACTCCATAAAATGAATGAAAACATTTCCATCCTTTGCAAAAGTTTTTGTGGAATCTAATAATTATGGTTACTAGATCTGGGCTGCACAAAAACAGATGACCACTAGATGGCAACAAACAAAAAATGCTAACACCTGGCCGCCCTCTAGTGGTCATCTGTATTAGTGCAGGCCAAATCTCTTAATATTTATAGTCCATTGAAACTGATTTTTCAACACAAAATTAACTACTGTGTAAACAAAGCAAGGAAACTTACTTTATATTATCCAACAACTGTTTTTTGGATGATCAGTTAATTGATCATTATTACTGTAAGTATATTTCCATTTCCCTCTGACATTTTTGGGTTAGATCTATACATACTTGAAATACAGAATGCATTAGGTGATGTGAATTCCATTCTGTAAAATTTATTAATGCTGTAATAAATACGTTAGTCTTTACACTGTAGTAAAGGGGGATTCTGAATGCTTTGTTGACCATTTGCCATATCAAACTTCAGTGCATTTCTCTATAGATCCCTCATCTCTCTGAATTACTGAATAAAATGTTAAAGCTGCAGTTATGACTGGAAAGCATAACAACATATACTATAAGTCTGTTACCTTTACTTATGATAAACTGACTATTGTATTATACTTTCCATTACAGTCGTAGAAACTCTTGTGTGTGCAAATTCTTTTTACATTCAGAGTTCATGGAGACTGCTAGGGATGAGAGTTTCATAATGTATTAATACTGGTATTGGGAAAGTTGTCTACTTGTGAGCATTGTTGTAACTAGAAAATAAAACATTAGATTTATTCCATGGACACATCTGACATGCTATTGCAACACATCTGTGATTGCATCTGTGATATGAATGAACTATCCTATATAACTATGACATTTGCACTATTTTGCATACAAGATACCCAAAAGTTACTTTGTTTTCAGGTATTGTTATGAGCAGTTTAAAGCCCTTCATGTTATCATTACAAGAATTGTACAGATTCTGCAAGATCAGGATTACTGACCCTATTCTGCAGATAGGGCCTGAGCCTGCCCAATGTTGGTTTAGTGACAGTTCTAGCTCAGGTTGTAACCTTAAACACACAAAAAAATAAATCCCTGTTTGATTTTGCAGAGAGTTCTAAACAAATTTAGCATTGCTTTTTTCCCTTCCCCTTTAAAAGCCCATGAAAAATAAGTGATTTTTAATAAAATACCTAGCACTTTTCATATAGGATGATCAAATAGCAACCTGTATAACATGTTACCAGTGCTTGTTCAACTATTGAGATTAGCTGGGCGTAGTATGGCCAACAAAAAATGCAGAAAGTGCTTGTGGTTCGTGGGCAGGCAGCACTTGGATGCAGTGAGAGTTAAGATGTGCCCTGTGACCATTTTACAAGTGCCTTTACAATTCGGCCTGGTTCCACATGCGATGTTGGTGGCGACAGGGTCGGTATGGTGTTGCCAAGCGCGATTGCGGTGGAGTGGGAATGGTTTTTGCCAGAATGGCAAGAGAAACACACCAGGCGGCCAGGAAAGAACAGAGGCCGGCCTGCCAGGCGGTGATCAAAATCTTCCATTCCTCCCATCAGCAGCTAGGCTAGGCCGAGGTTTCAGGGAGGCTCCTGGACTGGGCAAGAGCGGTTCCTTACAGTGAGAAGGGCAGCAGTGGCGAGTGGCTGGCAAGGAGGGGCTCTGCTTGCTTTGCCAGCCAATGGCTGCTGCTCGGCGTGAAGTCTTCGAGAGCCGCCTTTGACTGAAGGAAGGGGACGCGTTAATGATTGTTGGAAAACTGTAGTCAAGGCGTCCTTTGGCCCAGAAACAGAGGAGCTGGCGTCGCGTTCAGAACAGCGAGTTGGGGCGCCTGCCGCGCGTTGCTCTTGAGGCCCCTTGCAGGCAGGCACGGCGGTCCGGCGTTTGGAAATTACTCCTTGGGCTCAAGAAGGGGCTGGCGTAGGGGGCTCAAGAAAGCGCGCGGGAAGGGCTGGCGGCACCCTCGAGACTGCCTGCTGAAGGAGGGAGCCGCGGTAAAGCAGAGGGAAAGGGCTAATGGACGAGAATTGTGGCGCCTTTTTCGGAGCGCCCCTCGTTCTGGTGTTCGCCTTGGCGCGGGAAACGCTCCTTTTCCCCCTTGGAAAATAGAATAGGGACGCTGCGGTTAGTAACTCCAAGGAAGGGGAGAGCCTTAGGAGTTTCTGTCCGCGGCTCTAAAAGTCAGGAGCGACCTCCGCAGCAGCCATTTCCAGCAGCTCCGTGCTCCTCGCCCAGTCCCTGGTTTCTAGGTTAAATGTTGATAAACAGAGATGAACGCCGCCAAGCGCTTGCCCTTCTGCGTGGAGTTGGTTAAAGGTAAGGAAACAGCGGAGCTTTAAAAAAAAATGCGGGCAGGGGAATGGTGTCCCCGTGTTGTGCGTTTAAAATTTCGACGGAACAGGCAGCAGTTTTTTGCAAGTGGGGAGAGAAGCCAATTAGTTCCTCGGGTGGGGGTTTTCAGGCCTTTTCTTGATATATGATACATTGATAAGTGGTTTAAAACAAAACAGCAGTACAGCAGGTATGCTGCATAACAAAGAATTTTTCTGCCTCTCTTTCTCGAAACCTAATCTGTAAGCCATTTAAATTTTAGGAGTAAGTGGAAATGATTGTGTCTAAAGTTTTTAGCCTCTTCCCCAAAACTCCCCAAATTGCAGACTTCCAGTAATTGGTGGTGTGTCTACTAGCCTCTTTGCCTACACATACACAAATTTTTGCCATTTTAATTGAAGTGTGGGCAACAAACACTTGCATTCATTAGGACTTCCACATTTTGTGGTAAGATATGTAGGCTGAAGTTTTTTTCAACAGTCTTGTGATTGTACTGAACAGTTGTGGAATAAGCATATTTACATGGAAATAAATTCATTGGGACATAATAGGACATCTCAAGTGTTGTTAGTATAGCATTGGGCTAGTTGTTTTACAAATGTAACAAATGATGTAGCAGTCCCTTGAAATTTTTTATTCAGAAAGAATTAAGTTAGCATTGTTCACAGTTTTGGCTTTTGTGCAATGTACAAAAGCTTCTTTGCTTTCAAAAGAGAGTTGTAAAAATAACTATGTTCTTTCCCCAGTTTAATTTCAGAGCTTTACCAACCAATTAGAGATGAATTATGTCCTAGCCACTACTTTTATCTATATTTCCCACCAGCCTTTTAACTGATTTTTTCCTTTGTTTAAGAAATCTAACTGTCACAGATAGTAATAATTTAAGATCTCCGACTGCGTATGTTGCATAAAAATTAGTCATGGGAAGAACAGGACTGTGCCCCTTCTGCAACTCTGCTTAGAGACCATGTTAAGTTATTCACCTCATATTTAGTGTCCATGAGTAACATGAATATATCTGCAAGAGAAAGTCTATACATGAGTACCTACCAGCAGTGGGCTTTCTTCATGTTTTGGAACTTAAAAGTCCCCAAACAAGGAAATTGCCAAGATTAGAAAACACTGTGATGAGATATATATTGCATAACTCCATTTCTAACTTATGTATTAGGAAGTGAGGCCAGTAATTTCAGCGATAGGCCATAAATACAGCTGTACTGTATTAACATGTAATGTTCCTTCACATGATTCACATGTGTGAATGGCTCTTTAATAATTATTTTAATGTGGCAGAGAAAAGGATTGTACTTTCAGTGCAGTAGTTTAGACTTGTCTTTGACAACTCAGGGTATGAATATGAATTTCTCATATCCAAATTTAACAATTCATCCTCTACACCATATTGAATAGTTATTAATGCTTATATTGCCAATCTCCTGAAAATAGCCTCAGATTTTGAATGGAGGTTTTTATTTTTGCAGTTGTAACTTGGCTAAAAAAATTACATAAATCTATCAGCACATTTTCTACAATTGTTTTTGTGTTCATTATAAATACTAGTTCGGTGTTTTTGTTTGTTTCAATTTCAGATCGTCTTTATTTTGCCATTCTGTTCCATAAACCAAAAAGCAGTAGTACAAGTACACACTATTTCTGCATAGATGATGAATTTGTGTATGAAAAGTAAGTATAATATTCTTCCCTTGTTCTGTAAGACGGAAATAAATATGAGCAACAGCATATTTAAAGAATACATTGAGAAACTTTCTCATAAAATAAATATAGATATCTAGTCTTCTATCATTGGCCAGCTGGGGCCTGTCAGACACCTTTGATCCTAGAAGTAGTATATATATTGTGTCTAGTAACTCATAGCCTTATTCTCCATAAGTTTGACTCATGTAGTCTAAATTGTTGACCACCACTACTTGTGACAAGGAATCATGGCATGATTTCTCTATACCTTACATGTTGGTATGTGTAAATTTTATATATTTGCCTTCATGTCAGTCTGGACTCCTGATGATAGCTCGGACAAATCCATGCAATTTTCTTGGTAACATTTTCAGAACTTTTTTGCTATTGCCTTCTTCCCATTACTGCCCCAAAGTTACCCGGCTGTGGTTTCTAGCCTGATGCCTTTAAGCCTATACCAAACTGGCTCTCTACACAGGAAATTACTTCCTATTTTTTTGTCCTGAATTTCCCAGCATTCAGCTTCATTGGGTGGCCATGGTATATATCTCAATCTATTTAAATAGGTTGAATTAGTTCAGTAATTGAAACCAAAACAAGAAGCTTGATTGATTTGTTGCTTTCAACAGATAATTTATTCAGATTGAAAATTCAGTCAAGTCTGCTTTGAACTGAATCTTCCTAGAGTCCTACTTTCTAGTACCATGATAGGAAATGCTTAACTACTAAAATGTACTAAAGTAGGAGATTTTCAGGTTTCTCAAAATATCTGGAGTGCTGTGAACATCATTAAAATAGTCTGTCTAGAGGGTTTTTTATGTGTGTGTGCCTTCAAGTCAGTGTTCACTCCTGGCGACTGCCTGGACAAATCCCTGCAGTTTTCTTGGCAAGATTTCAGAAGTGGTTTGCCATTATCTGCGTCCTAGGCTGAGAGAGAGTGACTGGCCCAAGGTCACCCAGCTGGTTCATGCCTAAAATGGGGCTAGAACGTAAGGTCTCCTGGTTTGTAGCCTGATACCTTAACCACTACACCAAACTGGCTCTACATAGAGGGATTGCCTGGTTGCAAAGAATGAGGTGATGAAATAGGAATACAGTCTGAGAATACTTGCTCTCCCAAAATATAGTAATGTGCTTGCTTACTACAAAGATAGCTTTAAGCTGACTGAACTGTCTGAAAAGTAGAGTATTCAGTTGCCCCGCATATTTATTTCCTTTCCTAATTTTTTAAAATAAAAAGCAAATGTCAGAAGGACTTGGCAGGAACCTAGGGAGTGTCTTGAAGTGCCAAAGTGCATCGCGTAGTTCAGAAGAAGTAATTTTGTAAAATACAGTTGGAACAATTAGCAGCTAAAATTAGTGGCAGTGAAAAGGGAAGGAAGAAGATAAGATGTTAATATAAGGAAATGTATTTTTACTTCATTTCATTGGGACTAAATAAAAGGAACACAGTAAATAGTGATTTGTTCCCTTTCCTTACTGCTACTGAGAACGCACAGCCTCTGTTTTGCAAACACTATTTGATTTTTATTATGAGATTGGTTGAAGCTTGTTTAAAACTTTTGTAGTATGTATATCATTTTTATAAATGAAAATTAGATGGAGGTAGAGAAAGTTTATTTAAAACAGAAGTCATTATATTGCTGCAAGAATCTAGCATCTATATCCATCAGTGTTTTCCAAGAACCAAAAAATGGAATGCTGGAAGTGGGAAAGAGCATTTTAAGTTGGGGGTCTTTAACTTTATGATGTTCTTCCTAGAGATACCAGGCAAAAATTTAAACAAATTCCCAGGAGTTTAAGAATGTTAAGATCTTTTTCTAAAGTTTAAACTTGGAAGCAAATTGATATATTTATTTCTTTAACTGTATAAATATCTTGATGTTTTATATTTTGCATTATTACATTTAACTGATCTGAAGCATAATTCATGTTGAAGAAACATGATTCATGTTGAATTGAAAAATAAAGATAAATGTCCCTGTCCTCAGAGTCTCCATTGAGTTGAGCTCTTACTTCTGGTGACTTCATAAACATTTCCGTGTAGTTTTCTTGACAGCAAAATGGAAATAATTTGCCACTGCATTCTTCCAGGATGTTTTTTGACTTCCCAGTCTAGCTTACAACTTAATGTAATACCGCAATTGTATCCCATCCAAGTATTAATCAGGTCCATTCCTTCTTTGTTTCCAAGCCGAAAAAGGTCAGTTGGGCAGTGCATTTTCTAGTATGGAGGCTAAGCATGCTTCATTGATTAATTATTGTGGCTAAAAATACTTGAAAGATCCACATTTCATGAATTTACACTGGGAAACTTGTGGCCTACCAGATGTTCTAGAATTCTTAGCTCTAGTGAGAGGTTAACAATAATGGCAGTGGATATCCAGTACATCTAGAGAGCCCCAAGTAGGGAAAAGTGGCTTGGACAGTGCATCACTGAATGAAAAGCAGTTGAAATAAAGAGAAGGAGATATTATGTTGGTGTACAGTAGTGATGGTGAACCTTTTGAGCTTGGCATGTCCAAAATTCGGAAAATGCCTAACTGGATTCTGCTGGCGTGCCACCCCCTGAACAAAAGTGAAAT